ACCCTAATCACGGAGTGGAAGCAATCAGTATCCGAGATAGCCGACAATCCGCGCCGACGTTTTAATTACCGCTTCCATTTTCATATCGCGGGTATCGCCGTGCGTCGTTTAGCGAGCCATGCATTTTTAGGTCGTTTTATGACTACCATTGCGCCGCAACGTTGATGCCCTCTCGACTCCAACGACGGATCGTAAGCATCCGCTAAATCTGGATTTCTTCTCCGGCATTCTCAGAGACGATATATATTCTAGCGTATCAACTATTAAACATAATCGTAAGAGATAATTTATATGATAAAAGCGATCGGCTCTTTGCAATCATCGTTTTTTCAGTTTGGATCCATGCCAGTAAACCAATAATTCTCGTCGATGATATTGTAAATTTTAAAGTTTCAAATTGATACTGATATGAAATTGAGATGTTCGCAGATGTGAATATCGATGCGCCGGGAACGACAGTGAAGATGTTGCGGTTTGCGGATCGCAGATGTAACAGTATATTATTATAAAACTGCATCTTCATTTTTTCTTTTAGACATATAGCGTCGGAGAATGCAGACATGTAGTATCATGTGATAGAAATTGATATTGATATTTTAAAGAATATCAAGAATGAGTAGAGATTATTTGAATAGTATTCGGCCGAAATGATTAGAATATTTGAGTATACAAATAGTAAATATACAAATAGTATTTACTCATACATCTATGCGTATATATAATAGAATAAAAAAAATATTAATTTCTATTAACATCAGTTCGAATATAAGAATGCATCGCATATATTGAAATATTAATGATTATCACGATCATATAATGATCACAATCTTTAATGTTGATATTTAATTATATATTTTCAACTCTTTGAGGTGATGACCGCCATTATCTCGCTCTCTTCTATTTTCGCATCATAGCATGCATTCTTTCGTGATCGTATTAACATACCACTTTCGTTGACTAATCCTTTGTAAATATTAAAACAGAAAAAGAAATGTTTTATGTATGTTTATGACGTATGTCTTACTTTAAAAAGCCCCCTTTCTCTTTAATTAAATCTATTTCCTTTTTCCTTTGCATCATTGCATACATCTTTTCTTCACGGATATATTATTCAGTACCAATGTGGAAAAATTGTTCGTTAAGAATCGACTCCTTTTCATTTTGAAATAAAAAAAATCACTGTCATGCGTAAAAAAAAAACAAGATTAATTCAGCTTTCAATAAATCTTGCGGAAGAGTGGTATACAATTTAAAATACATCTATTATTTTTAATTAATACTATGTTAATTTTAATTAACCAAAACAAAAATAGAACTATTAGTTAAAATAATTTTACAAACTTATATAATAAAAGAATAGTAATTTATATCCACGGAAACTCGTGATTTTAGTTTAAATTTGTTCTTTCTTAAATAAATTTTATGATTAATCGTATTGTTTTATAAATATACATGTATCTCCATTTTATCTAAATATGCAAATGTGCAAGAAACGCGGAAATCCCTGGAAAATATCAGTAATTAATCGAGGGTTGCCATAATCTCCTTGGGACAGTAACAAATGAATGAGAACGAATTAATTGTAGACAGCTTATCTTTGAGGCAGCGTGTAATCCCGATAGCTCTGACACCGGATTTAAGAATTCTTCACGAATGATTTTTTTCACGAATGATAAAAATTTTTTTTAAATCATCCAACGAGAGCAATAATCATTGGGAACATAAGAATGAGAAGGAGAGAACTGATTACTCATAAATTCAATTCTTTGTAGTATTGTTACCATCAAAGCCGCGGAAAGACGGAAGGATCGATACATCTTTGTATTATTGCTCTGATAAAGTTAATAACAAAATCAATATTAATGCATATCTTTTCTTTAATGTAAAAAAGCTACTGTATAATTTATCATTCACTCTATGCGATATAACTTGATGTAATACAAAATTACTTAACGTTTTCTTGATGTGATCATAATCTTTTATGATTAATCATATTGTTTTATAAATATACATGTGTCTCCATTTTATCTAAATATGCAAATGTGCACGAAACGCGGAAATCCCTGGAAAATATCAGTAATTAATCGAGGATTGCCGTAATCTTCTTGGGACGGTAGCAAATGATCTTTTACAATTGATACTGATTATAATTCTTGATAAATCAATAGGTTTGATTTTTATCAATATTACACAATAATAACATAAGCGCATTCGTTATTGCAGATGTTAAAAATCGAAAATTTCTCGAAAGAAAAAAGTTTAGCGATAGAGAAAGAAATAAAATAAAAGAGGAGGAGTAGCAGAGAAAGCAGAGGCGGATGAAATCAGAAGGATGAGCAGCCGTTTGCTGATCTAAACGCCACGGTCTACGTGAGTCTTCGAAGGAAGGGAATTTTATAGCTTAGAATCTGTTTTATGAGCACCGGATTTGCGATTATGACCCCGGACTCTTGACGACTCAAACAAAGGAAGAGCACAAGGAATAATGGAAACCGCGATTTATGTTCTAAACCGAAAACTAATCTTTTTCTTACTTAATATTAAGTTCGATTTTATCAGTCGCTTTGCATGCCATAGTTAAATAATAATATAAAATATATTAATCCCTGCATAATTAAATATTTGATGCGTAATTAAATCATAGTTCTTTATGTCTTTGCGATCGAACCAATCAGCTTTCATTAAACTGTAAGTATTCGCATGAAGTCAAACTGATCTAGACTTACCTTTACTAATCGAAATGTTATGTAAAGAAATATTTTTTTAAGATATGAACTTCTGATTTCTAATGCTTAAAAATTATTATTTTATATTTAAAACACATCTCTCAGTTTATAATTACTTATAAATAAAAATGGAAATGGTTTTGTTAAAACATAAGATATAAATAAATTAAAACGTGAGTCAAATTAATTTTTTCTCCGCGAGCATTTACGGATTAAAGTTACAAATAAATAAGATAAAATAGACTTACCAGTAATATGTAGAAGATTCAGTAGGAGGGTCAATAGAATGTTCAGTAGAATGTTCAACAGAGGATTCAGTAGGAGTTTCGGTAGAAGAGAGAGGTTCGGGAGATGGCTCAGTGCGAGGTTTAAATGAGTTTTCAGGGAACGGAAACGTATTTGTCGTTAATATTGGTAGGGGATTAGGAGGCCAAACTGGTAAACTTTGGAATGGATCCTGAGGCGATTTTATTCCAATAAGTAGTCTCTCATCTGGACCTCTTAGAACCCTTGGTGGCGAGAGATAACTGCATGCCGCTTGTTGGATCATCATGAATGATGACATTGAGTCATCATGAATGACTGAAAAAGAAAAAAAATATAATTTTAGTCATTACGGATAAAATTGAAAGCTTAATTAAGATTAATTTAACATGATATTACGAAGACCTAATATATCATATATTCTTTGTGTACTTCTTTTACATCACAAACAATTGCTCATTTCTTATCTGTTAATTAATTGATATAATGAATATAATAACAAGTATTAAATTGTAAAGTATCAAATTGCAAAGTATTACATAAAAATGTCACGAAAAATAGAAAAACATTTCTTTTCTGATATCTTGTATAATATCAGTTCCTTTTCACTATTTTATTATTATCCCCTGATAGACATCTAGTAAAACATTTCGCTAATTAGATATTAGATTAAAAATTCGCTAATTAGATATTATTAGATCAAATTTAAAGGATAATATATACAACAAAATCATAATCACAATATTTATTAAATAATCATTTCAAGATATTATGTCGGCGAGATTTTAAAATTTAATACATAGTTAGTAGAATTTAATTGCTCTAAGCCGGGCTATCAGAACAAGTTTCCCGCAATGCCTCAAACAAATCCTCCCTCTCAATTATCAAGGGCATAAAACGATCTATCGTACGGATGCGATTTCACTCGACAGTTGCCTTTTGTGCTTTCATTGCTTAATTGGTGGAATTTAATTTTAATTGTTACCACTCCTGCGAAGATAATGAATACCATTCACTGTCGAGCCTTCTTCTTCTTTTCTCAAGCTTCCGTTGTAGCATAAAGTTAGAGACATCATAAGCGACCTAAATTAGTTGCCTCTCTGATTGTCGGAGTTTCTAGCGTCCATTGAACTGAACCACTTATAATGTTATCGAACGGTCAAGTATTACGTATAAATCGCAACGCTTTATTCCAAAAGCGTTTTTCTCACTTTGCGTGCAAATCCAAAAGATGCAGGATATAGACAAACATTAATAAGAAATATAAAAAGAAATGATAATAAATGATAAGGGAATTTATTACGGGCAAAAGAAAAAAATTGAGTTTTCTCATCAGTTGATTTACATTTTTTTTTTTATTATTAATACATCGTTATTTATTGCGAGAACACCCAATTTTTTATTTTGCCCATAATAAACCCTCTATTATCATTTCTTTTGATTTTCATGTGTTTGGGCTATATTGATATTTTTTTAAGAAATATCAATTTAAGTCATATTAAAACTAACAATATTTAATAATTAAGAGTCAAAGCCCCAAAAAAAGAGAATTAACGTCGAAAAGAGATACTATAACATAATATTTTGTGCTACATCAATTTATAGCACAAAATATTTTTTATTTTCTATTTTGAAACATAAATTTCCTGTGGCTTACACGTCGACTTGCTTAATCGCGGCGGACTCTTGTCTAACATGTATACTGATTATGAGGACGCTTGAAAATTGCCCTTCAACCACAGTGAGTTATATACGTAAGATAACAGAATTTATTATACGCTAAAGATTATGTGACAGTTTCAAAAAATTCAGTTTCAACTCGCGAAGCCATAGTACTCTCACTTAGAACCAATAATTGCCGGTTCAACATGTTGCGAGTGACGTTGCTTGATTGTAGGGAATCCTCACAGATTCTTGATGCAGGCTGATTTATAACGCATCTATCAAGTCGTAACTTTAGAGGCTGTATCTGCATACTTGTTTTAGCTATCATTCAGTTCTTCTTCGAGAAAGATTCGATATTCGATTCGGCATTAAAAGCATATTTATTAAGGAGATAAAAAAAGAAAGAAAAAATGTTAAATGTTAAATCTTGTTAGCAGCAAAAAATAGATACCTATGTAGATTTATTAATTATTAAAACTATAATTAATTTTACTTTCTTTACTATAAATATTAATTTTAATTTCTATTTTTTTTCTTGTGCTATAAAGCACAAACTTTATTGTTGTCAAATTGTAATCATTCAAATATTTAATCGTAAATCTTTACAGAAAATCTTTATAGAAAAATAAATAAAATAATCTGTATTATATGTGATTATTATTAATGGAAAAAGCTATAATTTCTCCGTTTTGAATATACAAATAGCTTTAACATTCGACGACACGACAGAGAGTTACGTAAAAGATTGCATTTTCTCGCAATAAAAATTAACTACAAGCAATTTCTCTCTCGCGGAGGCAATCGTTCAACGTTATCAATTAATAATATGAACTTTTTCTTTCATATTACATAGAAATTGTAGGATTAGGTAAAGTACGGAGTAAGTTGGTGATCTTTCGGACGACATTCACGCTACCCAATATAGGAATGATTTATTCCAGATGCAATCTGGAAGATGAATCCAAGCAACATAAAGAGTAGCCAGCCATAAAAATATGTTGCCTCGTAAATTACAGCCAACGGCGTAGCTTTGCGTATACGTTCGTTTCGCTCGATCCTTTCGCCGCGAGAAATGTCCGCAATCGCGCGACTTTTTAACGCCATATCGTCGCTTGTAAACACCGATACTCGAAACTTTAATCCTACGTGCTTAAACCTCGAGGCAGGAAAGATATCTACAATCGAAACAATGAAATTGTGTTTGAAAAATAATTTTATGCGATTTATAATACTATTTTTCGCAGAGTAAAAATAGGTATTACATTAAAGAAAAAATTCACGAAGTGAATGTAATAATTTCTAAGGGTAATAATGAAAGTCATTAAAAAAAAAAAATAATTGTATGCGTCTACGTAAGTGTTACCATTACAGAAACAAACAGAAAATTAAGAGTGGATTTTAAAATATATATTTTAATAGACTAGAGTTATATATGACTTATAAGGGGTAACTTCAACATCGCGATAGGTATTACGAATAATAGAGTATTATCGGATCAAACGTGCTCAGAAATAGGATTTGCAGCTGCGTGTTCGCTGGCTTACTTAATCGCCATAACTTCCGGTCGCCTTAGAATTACGTGACGTCACCTTCATCCATCGTGAGCCGAAGTGACGCCAAATATAAAGCTCGCGAAACTAAGGGAAGCGCAACATGTTTTTATTGCTTATCGGAATCATTCGGTATTAAGATCACGGCTAGTTGAAGCATGAAAATGCAGATCACAACGATTCAAATATCATATTTGAAATATCATATTTAAATAAATTAATAAATGTAACATAAAATAGTAATGTTAATAACGTTTGTAAAATAAAAATTACTTTGCACATTTTAAAACATGTTTTTGTTTTTGTTTTTTCTTTTTTTTTTAATTTTTCCATGTCCTCGATTTAAGCAGATAAAAAAGTGGAAATTCAGTATAAACTTTGACTCGTTAATACAGGAATATGAATGAATTTAATTCTTTTGTTAGCAACTTATATTATATTTTTAGTTGATGTAAATTAAATATTTTATCACGGAAAAATATTTTCGTATTCAATTCTATGTTTGTATCGATATCAAAGTTTAGTGAATTTTGGCACGTTCAAATCTTTTTTTGACTTTCCTTAAGATGCAAATACATTGAAATCTTATATATTCTAATCGGTATTGCTTTCGCTAGCGCAGATAAACGATTTTTCTAGTATCATCTTATCAGTATCATCTTATCATCTTATCGGTCGTCCATTTATCTGCCATTTATCTGCGTAACATTGCCAGTTAGTCTATCATTCCAACCTTCTTCCTTCTTTACTCTTTTCTTTACTCTCTTAATATAATCTCTGTAATTTAGCCGCGACAAACTATACATATATCAGCAAACAGTTCGCGATGCACATGCATTCTTCCCGCATTGAGATTACCGGTTTTCTCGATGGTAATATTATTATCCTTTCTCGAGTCATCTGTTGCGATGCACAGCAAGCTTGAGCATATGCAACGAGTGTACAAAACTACACGCACAATTTATGAAAATACTATTATTTATGAAGAAAATATGCCGTCTTGGACATATTAAAATAATCACATAGTCTTTGCACGAGTTTTACCGTTCCGACTGCTAGTTTAATTCATATTAATTGCCATCTACAGCAGCGAGGATCAATTAGTAACAAATTATAGACTTCCTAAGGAAAACATATAACTGTAAATACGTAAATACTCTCATATAAATTTTTCAAATCGGTTTACGATTATAAAATCAAATAATTTAATCGTAATATTTTCTATAATTAATAAAAATATTTTCCTGTTTAATGTTGAAGACAATTTATTTCAAATTAAAAAAAAAAAAAAAATAAAGAAGGAAAATTTATAAATGAATAAATATATATTTTAATATCAATTCTTATTTTTTTCAATATAATAGCCCGAAAAGATGATGCTTGCTTATAAGGCGATAATTAATTTTCGAAATCGAAAAGAGTGTATGTAAAAGGAAGGCATCAAGGTGTAACAAATGTAACGAATGAAATAGCAGGAAGGAGTAAAGCCATGAGTCAGCGCCCTGAACGGCGCATACAACCCCCTTGCGCACGTTGAGAGCGAACAGCCATACGCGATGCAAAAGTTGTAATATTATTCGAAAGTCTTTCAAAGTTAAGGCAGTTCGGACAGCCGGTTTTACGATGGAGCACCGACGACGCACAATGCCTGTGCTAGTGGTTTTACATATCGTAAAGTGCGTGCACGCGCGAGCTAAGGAGCGCATATAAATCGGCTTGCCTGCTGTTATGTCTCCCGCGTGCAAAGGGTCGTTTACCATTTTATGCTCTCGGAGCCTTTAAGTCCTGCTCTGGCCTTTCTCTTTCTTTTTTTTTTCTTTCACCATCCGAGTCCTGATTTCCTGAGTTTCTTCTATAGAAAAAACTCAGTCACACAGTAAAAGTTGCTAAATTGCAATAAAGGGGCGTAAGAATTAATGAAGGCGATGTGAAAATCGTGAGATAGCAAGGATTTTTAAGACCAGAATCAAATAGTTTAAATTAGATTTGAAGACGACTATTAAATTTATCTAAATATTTGATAAAAATATACTTAAGATGTATGTATTATGCACATATACTATATATTATGTAATCAATAAATCTATACTTTATGTTCATCTATTACTTTATGTTCATTTTCGTATCAAATCACGTTAATCTCTGTCGTAAAATAATAAAAAGCAAAATGTCACAAATATATAAAAAAATTATAAATATATAAAAATTAAAATATTTGAAATCTTCTAATCTCGTCTTGCATTCTAATATATATATTTTTCTACAAATTATAAGTAAATAAAATTAAAAAAAATATCAATAAAAGCAAAAAATCATGTTTCTCGTTATATTAACATAGTTTCTCAATGAGAAATAAACGACGTGTAAGCCTCGCATTATGCCGCTATTAATTTGAATAAGTTGACCATGAAGTGCGCATTGTTATCAAACATCTACAGCTCGCATTTGAATTTAAAAACCAATTAAATTTAAAGCAGCAAGAATGCGTTTACGCATTTAATAAAAACAGCCTGTTTTCATGCCAAGAAAGACTTAATTACATTAATTGCGATCAGTAATCATATAAGTTCGTCGTTGGTAATCAATAAATTATTTATTACAATGCGCATGATAATGCACGTATGACGCGAGCAACTAGTGATTATTAGATGCGTGTGCAAAGTGAACATTATCTATCTTTGCAGAAACGCGATACTCGCACGAGGCATCGAAGCTTGGCTCTGAGTTGGCGAATGTAACTTCGAGGAGTATGAGATCATTATTTAATTCGCATTACTCGATGTACTCGTGAGATTCACGTTGTGTGCACGTGCGTATTATGCGCACGTAGTATGAAAAACTATTCGTCTCCTATCATTGTACAAACGTTGATGATACACATCCGCGCGGGCATGCATGTGTATGCGTGTAAATTTGCATTTAAATACATATATACAAAGAAAATATATTTAAAATTTAATTATGAAGAGAAGTTATATTAAAAGTTGAAAATTACAACGATCTCTCACGATCAGATTTGCAAACCAAAAAAAAAATGAAAAAGAAAGAAAGGGAAAAGAAAAAACGAGAGAGAAACTCAGGATATACGTAATGATCTTAAGGCCTTGCGTATATAAATATATTGCCGCTTCTAAAAGAACAGTACTGTCTAAAAAAAGCTCTCTACGTTGCACATAGTATCGTCCTTGCACTTTGCGCGTGCATGCGCGCGGGATTATTCTCACTAAAGGTCTGCTAGAGGTGGCTCCAGTTTGATACCGTGACAGATAATTACGTGTCGAACAATCTATATTTCAAATCGAGGCAGACTAAACGAAGGGAAGATCCGCATCGTGTGCGAATTATATATTACAGAAATACGTTTTTCGATCAAACATTCCGCTAGATATAACCTCGCGTATCGCACACGAAGTAATTCGTACGTATATGGTTTCCGCACACCACACATCAGTCGTATCGCCTATCGAGCGAGTCGTCGCTTGCATTCTAGATAAGATAAGCGCCGCGCAGTGTTCAAATGTTACGCACATTGTTACCGCTAATGCCAAGGAAACCGCGCTTCCCGCTTGTACCGCGCGCGCGCGCGCGCGCGCGCGTGTGTGTGTGTGTGTGTGTGTGTGTGTGTGTGTGTGTGTGTGTGTGTGTGTGTGTGTGTGTGTGTGTTGACTTATTTATTTATTTTTCACAATTATCATTTCATATCGAACTATCAAGCTAACGAGGATTCATTCCTGCGATATGACAGATATGATACGTATGAAATTTGCTTACTATCTCTTTCTCTCCTTTTCCTTTTTCCCTTCCTCTTTTTCTTTCGCTTACTTGCACATCCATATTTTTGCTTACTTGCACATCCATATTTTATCTATCTGTTTTAAAAAATTGCATTGATCCTCTTTCTGATTTTATTTTTTCTGTTTAGCTCTCGTCTTTTTCCTCTTTGTTTCTTTAAAACTTTTGTTTATTTTATTTTTATAAAAATAAACATAAGTTTAATTTTTCGAAAAATTAAAATATATAATTAGGTCGAATAAAGTGGATTTATTATGATATTATAGAAAAATTAATTTTATTACTATTACACGATCTTCCAATTTAGTTTCTTTCTAATATATAAACTTTCATCAAAATTATACATTGTATATCATAGGCAACAATTTTTTTATAAGTATTCCATGTAAGATGTCTTCAATAATTAAATATACATAAATAAAGTTTTTTTAATTCAATATTAATTAATCCAATATGAGCTCTTTTTATTTCATTAATTTCGGGCAGAATTCTAGGTACAGAATAATTGTTCGGTACTAATTGTTCAGTATAATTTTCATTTGTGCGTACTTAACTATCTTTGTTCTCATATTGCATGGAATCAATAGCACGCAAAAGCTACAAATACCATTTGCATCAAGTGAGTTACTCTCACTTAATATAAGCGAATGAAATCCAAATATACGAGAATACAGTCGGCCGAGTAAGTCGACCGCCGTCTGTCTAATTCCGTCCGTGACCACGTCCCGCTTGTTGCTAGACAGACTAAGAAAACGAAGACACTTCGCGAATGTAACAGGTCGCAAATGAGAATCTGAGAAAGCTGAGAAACGCGCGACTGTTCAAAAGAAATCAAGACGCATTAAAATGTCAACATTAGTTCGCTGATGGAAATTCGGCGACGCGCTTTACTAAAAATAAATCCTGGCGTTTTGAAGTTCTTTTTATACCCGTCAAATTAGATTTCCCTAAATTCCGACACATTTTGGTATTTGACATTTTGGTATTTAAGAAATAACATGTTTCCTAACGGTTGCGAATAGACATATCATTTCCAATATTTATTGTTTAATAATAAGCCATCAATTATTGTTAATTATAATAATCTCAATATATCTATCTTTTATCTAATTTTATTCAAATAAATATGTAAGAAGTAATAATAAATAAATTAATTAAAAATAAAGTAATTAACAAAGCAACAGCAAGCATTAATGTAGGATAATGATGTTTATTTAATGCAATGTTATAATCATCTAAATTGATAATTCGTCTTTAAAAGACAGATCATTATTTATACGATGTTAACCGTTTTAATTAATATTATTTAATGTTACATTATTTCTCGATAACAATAGTACAGCTTTTGAAAACCTATTGAAAACCGAAAAATACATTATATTTGTGTGTATAGCGTCATTCCTTGCGTGTTTCAAAGTGTTTCTATGCAATTGCAATGTAAACAGTAATTACTATTTGATGTCGATTTACTGTTTGACAGTTATGGTCAAGGCTTTCGTTCCCAAATGTATTCAATACGGCAGCTTTGCACTCTTGAACTATATTGAAAAAAAAGGCGATATTGTTCGATATTGTTTGTACGACTTAAAGATACTGCAGATGTATTCATCGAATTTACTGGAAGAGAAAAAAGTTTCTGCAAAAACATGAGAAATGATCTCGACTATGATTAAAAAAAAGCATATACGTTCATATTGAGTGACAGATAAACACAAGTATATTAATCAAGTTTATCAGTATATTAATCAAGTATATCAATAATGTCAAAGTATGCTGCTCATATAAATTTCATGTGCACAAGTTAACAATAAATGCAATACAATTAGACATCTAATCTCGTTTGAAGAAATATTCATATCATTTATAAACTCTAACACACCACACACACACACACACACACACACACACACACACACACACACACACACACACACACACACACACACACACACGCACGCACGCACGCACGCACGCACGCACTATACGAAAGAAATCCAAGAACATCCAAGAACATAGAATAAAAGATCATAAAATCGTATTCAAATATTTAATTGTGAACTATTGCATATATTAATAGCAATTGCTATACTGTGATCATTGTTAATAATGAAGTAACATACGAATTGAATCGAAGACTGCATCATCAAACTAAATTATTAATGTAATTATAAAACTGTATCATAATATATCATAATTGTACTATCATGCAAAATGGACAATGCCTTTATGGTAGAAATTCATTAACGCGGGCAATATACTGATTGCTTGGACCTAGAACAAGCAACCTCACGTGACTATGCACATTCCTGGAAGATATTATAGACACCAATTAGGGTACCGACATGCAGACGTTAATCCCGCGATATCTTTGGCAGATCAAATATGTTGTTGAAATAAAAATAGGAGGGTAAGATCGTTGTAGGGTAGGATCCTTGTTTTCTCGTTCGTGCGATAAATGATTGTTGAGATTGAAGCGATATCATATAATATTGATTTCCACCACTGCAAAATTCTATATAGTCAATCTTAACGCAATATAAAAAGTATTCTTTCATAAAGATATGCTTTCATAAAGATATGTTAAGATATGCTTCGTTGTTTATTTTGCATTGCTTGCACATTGCTCTTGAACAATTTGACATCGATAGGTGATATCGGTGAATCTAGCCAAAAATCAGTTACGAAAGAACAACAGCAAATCACGAGAGTCTAATTACTCGAGTTAATTGACCAGTATTGCCGCCATTGCTCGGCAGTGCATTATTCCGCATGACGCGGCATTTTGGTATGCTCGTTTTTTTTTCTCGCACGCACAAAAGAGCTTGCGCAATTCATTCGAAAAAGAAACTCATCATTTCAATGGTTATATCGATACGAATGAATTTTAGATGTGGAATATTATCATCGATATGTCAGCTTTTTACACAGATCAAAAACAATAATCATTCATGCTAATTTATGAAAACGTAACTTTTCTACGAGTATTAACATTACGCGGGATGGCATGCATGTATCGTATACGAATGGTCATGAATATGCGTGTATTTGTGTCGCCATATGCAGACAAGGTATGAGCACTGCCGTATCTATACAAGGTCGAACATTTCTCGTGTATTGCATCAAGTATGCAGAAATTGACAAGCAGAAAATCCACGAAACAAAATAGAAAAATGTATTTTGCAAGAACAAATAAATTTTTTGTTATATAAAACAAAATATTTGGTTGCTTAAAGAATATCCTAGCTAAATAATTTTTTTCCTAGTGTACATAATTCGGTTGGATACGTGACAAGAATGATTTTGTTGAAATATCTAAAAATATAGCCGAAATATAAATCTGAAAATAGATTTTGTTAGGTCAATAAAAAAAATTATATAAAATGTTTAGATTTGAAATAATATCACAAAAATTTGTGATAAATTTGTGCTATTCTAGCAGTCAATTTGAACATCCTACATAATTATTTTGATAAACCCAATGAGATCCTTTTCAGATCGGATATGTGAAATGTATTTTTAGATATTTCAGTGAAACGTTTTTTCCAGGTAGTAAAAGATAGATTAGATTAGTTTTTGATATATTTTACTCTTTTGTGTGTTCGTAGTCCATTTTAATATCGTTCATACTTTCTCGAAGGCCGACATGAATTTCACATTCAAAGATTATTTGATTCGTTATAAGATACTTAACAAAACTGGTAGTGTCAGTTTTAAATGAATCGCTATATGCATGTTCTCCAGGCAAATACTGGATCCGAATGAGGTCATACCACACCACATCACTCGATCTTTCACTTGTTTACTGTTTACGAAAAGAACCTTTCTAATTTTTATCAGACCAAACAATATAATGTATTTTTGCAACATCATGATACTATTCTGTTTTTTAGATATGATTCTGCATTTAATTGGTGATTCTTCATTTTTAAAGAATATCTAATATTCAAATCGTCAATTAAATAATTATTAAATGTCAATCAATACGTGAGACATTTTGTTATTTATTGCAAACAAAAAAATTAAATTATTATAGTTATCTTGCAAAAAAAACTATGCAAGTATATATTTTATTTTAAAAAGTGTTCAGGAACTTATGAACAATAGTGTAAATTATATAAGAGAAAGAAGTGCAAAAAGAAAGAAATCCATAATTTATACTTTAAAATTATTTAACTTTTAAATAATTACAATCTCAATAAATTTAATAAATTTATATTCAAATTTTAAAATATAGAAATTTTCTCGTTTTCTCTCCTTGCAACTTCGTATCTACATACATAAACACATACGATATGCATATAATTAGCGAGATATCCAGTGCATGATCACTAGAAAGCACTTGTACAAGATCAATTGTCTCTCGAGTGATTCTAGCACGTCATAAGTGGCCAAGATTCAGCATGTAGATACGCACTAAGCTCTGCAACATACACTAACGATCCGTAATTATCCAACGATATAGTCTTCGCATTAAAACGCGACATTCTTTTGGCACAATACATTTATTAGTTCTATACAAAAGTAACACTAATAAATATCGAAACACACTATAAATATTGAAAAACTCGCTCTTTTATAATATTTGTTTTTTATATTAAAGAAAATAAATTGCATTAAAAAAATTATCAAAGAATTCTTTAAAAAAAAAAAAAAACATTACATCTATTTCTCGTGGGAAATATCGAATATTTTCAATTTCTCTCGTTTTTTCACGTTCTGTAAGAATTATGAGTTCAAAATCATTATTGCTCAAATGTGATAAGGTGTACGGTAGACTGTAAAAATGTAATACAAGCATATGATATAAATGCAACAAAAAGATTATCAACTGTGCGATCGACCCGGCAAACAACAATATATCAATATATTTTCACATCACGTTGGTGCGCGTTGCACGCTTCCTCGATCATATCACGTCAAGTTAGACCGATCGTAAGCGCTAAGTATCCGCCTGGTGCGTGCCAAAAGTGTCCGTCTGAGGATGCATGAAAAGATATTTTCACGGCACACGTGAAACGACCGTTACTCGCTTGCGTGCACGAACACGACACACGGCGAATACGCACACATTTTCCTATCGCGGCCGCGTTATCATCTTTTTACACGGTGTAGCCATGCGCGACCACTGCAACGGACCGATAATTACCTTGTACGGACTTTAAATTATTTATTATCTTCATATAATTAACACCCTTATAATTGTATTAATCCCATCGCAACAGTGCACTATACTCGAGATTTTGAACGATCCGATTTTGAATACGGATTTTACGCAGCAATAAATCGATAAGGTTTCATTTAATTTACTTGTTTCAAGATTTAGAAATAATACGGATACGGATTTAATTATACAACGACATACGACATTGCGAATTCATCTTCTTTCTCGATATGACCGCGTCGGCATGCAATTATCGCACGTATTAAATTACGGATACGTTTAATTCTTGTTATATTGTAACTGCGCGAGGCTATATCGGTCGCAGTAACGAGCTGTTAATCATTCTCGCGACCTGGACTTGAGAGTGTCGAAGGAATGCCGTGGCCGACTTTAAGTCAATATATAAGAAAGAACAGTTTCGTTAAAATATCTCAAAATTTTACAAATTTGAAAATAATTTTGTTGGGTAATCAAAATAATTATGTCTATGTTTGATGTTTAAAATATATAAATTATTTTCTAACAAATTTATTTTCCGACTTGTATTTAACTAAAGTTTTAAATATTCCAGGAAAATTATTCCGCATACGTATTTATACATTACAAATTGTAACCCTGTTTTAATTCTTCCTAATCAAAATTATTTTTTGTAAATTAGCAAAAATTAATTATTTTGTCTTCAATTTTATTTCATTGGCAGATATAATATAAATATAATGTTTAATATATAGTATTTTATATATATAAATATTTTGTTATGAAAAATAAATTTGTCAAAAAATTAATTAAATCAGTTAAATTAGTTAAATTTTAAACTTGTAACGTGCAAAACGTATTATGATTCGTATTTTAATATGCATAAAATTTCATATTCATTCGGTACGTAATAGTCATTAATGTTATACACTTTATATTTAAATACGTTTAGTAAGAATTTTAAATTAATTCTACTATAAAAATATATTATATTTATTTTAATATAGTAATTCTTGCTTAGTTTGAAAAATTATCCTAAACGCGCATAATAACCCAATTAGAAGGCGTCATTGTATAATGCGCTTATTTTATACTCGTGCCAACTATGTGAGTACATCGATATGTGAAGAAGCAATTAAGGCGCACCGTACGCGCATTAGTATCGCTGACTCATTATTTACACTAGACCGGTGCTGCTACCTCTGATGCAGTTACTGTTCTTATGGCAAAGCATTCTCTACTTCTTCACGAGAAGCGCCATTAATCTCTGACACGTGCGCAGAGGTGTGGACATTTGCTATTTAACTGAGCGTCATTCCAATGCGTTTAGACCTGTCACGCGTGCATACGCGTGGTTATACGTCAAATTAGGGGGAAGATGCATATCTTTTTCCAACGAGGTAATGTGAGCGATCGTATTAATTAGAATTATTCTCATTTCTCAAATGTATAGCCCCGTAATCATCAAACGTATATTCGCAAAATTCAAAATTAGAGTTTAGAGATAAATCACATTTAAAACGTAGCGAATATACGTTTTAAGTTAAATTAAAATGTTAAATATCTTAAATTATCATAAGCTCTTGATAATTTTTTTTGTATTTCAAATAATATATCACCGAAGTATGTTGCATACTAATGATAATATATATTATTATTTTTACATTTGTCACACGATATATCATGTTCATATAAATCCATGCAGCCTACGTGATCTGTTAATAATATGCAATCATGTACTTAGCGAGAGATGTGAGCTGTTAATACTCCTTGCTCATATAACTATCGTTGGAATGTCGCTTTCCGCGTTGACTTAAATGTAGATATCTAACCGGGCAAACAAGATCGAGATTGTATGACTTGTCACGATCTATTCCGAAACGATAGCGATCGAAATTAACGACATGACGACAAAATATTTATTTACGACGACTAATTAACTTGTTTATGAAAGCTAACAAGTTCGATAGTTTGATCATAAATTGCTACATTGCATTATGGATGTGATAACAGTCTATGGTGTTAATAGTTCCAATATAGTCAATTATATGAAATGTCAAGAAAATAGTAAATATGTATAATAATAGTAGGAATATAATAAGCATTAAGTTATTATTGTAATGATGGAAATGACCTGATAATTATAACAAAGTTATACGATATATCAATAAAATAAATATTAATCAAAAGTTTATTCTGTTTTGACAACTTATTAAGATCTTGCTCATTTGCAAAAAATGTTACGTATTATCAGATTGTATATAAGGCGCTAAATATTTCCCATAAATAAATTATAGAAAAATCTAAGTTATGAAAGTAGAGCAAACAGTAGATGTATGTTTGTGGCTACTTGTGTACATGTTTTAACTGCTAAACTTAAGCGTTTCATTTGTGTTAATTTAATTCGGAATAAATAATATAAAAATATACAAATCATCTCCAAAAAAGATTTAACTACCTGTTTAAAGCTAAAAAAAATGTAAAATTAAGATTATATTAAAGCAACGACACGCAACGATTTTAAATTTTCATCATGCTAAAAAATCGAATCTGCACTCTTAGAGAGATCCATGAGAAAGAGATAAAGATTTTTGAGTATATTCAAATAATACTAATTGTAAGATGTAATAAAGAAATTTAATTTTTACGATTTTTGATGCACATCAATTTATTCAATCAAAAAGATATAACTATATGAGAAAAAAATAATGCATTAAATTTAATTAAAAATAATTTTGTTAACCCAATAATAGTAATAATTAATAAAATAAATACATATAGTAATAAATACATATAATTATAAGATAAAGATCCTGTCCGCCGATTAATGCCATCTATGATTTGATTGTTGAAAACATATAATTATTATTTTTAATTAGATTTGATGCTAGTGATGCTACTTCCATATATAATTAAACTAACATTAACTCAACGTCACGCGAAAATACGTCGTACGAAGTGATATTTATAGTGAGATTATAGTGAGATGTCATGAGGATCATTAGATACGCGCGTTACATACTTAATTGTAAATTCTGATGATATTAATTGTTAACAACTTTGCTGTTGAGTGCAAAACGCGATGCACAATAGTTGTGATATAAATGTAACGTTACCGCAAAACATCGATTAAATGAAGTATCTCGCAACGGTTTCGGGCGAATGGTCAGTGATCCAGAACCGAGGCGAGACGAAGAAAGAAAGGTTTTGCCCGAGTATCGATTATCTACAGTCATAATTAGCAAAAACATCGTACCTTTCTGTGACGCCTTGGACCGCTTCCCACTCTCTTCGGGATAAGAGAACCGGATCTGCGTATTCTTTAATGGTCAATTAATCGGTATCTTTTTCTCGCAAGTTTAAGTCCCTTAAAAATTTGTATCAGGATATTGAAGTGGATTAATGAATATACCAATTAAATTTTTTTTTAAATTTTCTTTAGATATACGTATTATGATATACATAGACAGAACAGTTTTGCTAAAAGATCTAAAAATTTGGCTAAATTTGAAAATAATTTTATTGGACTATCAAAATAATTATTATACAAGGACGTTCAAATTGGTTGTCAAAATATAAAAAAATTGTGCAGTATTATCATTATGCTTAAGCATCTTATATAATAATTTTGATCAAAAAAATATTTTCAGGCCTTCATCTAATTTTTAGATCGTTCAACAAAACTATTTCGTGTACGTATATGATATATGTATCATATTCATCGCATATCATATCCTTGTTAAAATATGGAAATTAACGAAATAGAATGTCGACCTTGAATGTACTGAAAAGCAGACATATCGGCGAAGATAATTTTCGACTACCAGTTGGCCAGTATCCAATGGTAAAATTTAGCAGTCAGGGAGTTGAGACGAATATGTAATGATGGCTACATTATAATTGCAGAAATATCCGGCAATCCCACTTGGCACGACGGTTTGCGTATTTATCGCTGAGTATTTTAAGTGACAACTATAATACGTTACTTTGTACGTCAGCAAGCAGGCCAGTTCTAATTCAACTGTATGTAATATATATATTATTGGCAAACGCTCAAATTTCTCTAACTAAATATTTTAAATTCGCCGGTAAAATTTTTCAAAAATCGATAACAGAAAGTAAATGAGTTAATTCAGTTAATTAATTTATTTATTTATTATTTACTTGCACGTAATGTTTGCTTCTTTTGCGGGTAACAATTTCTTCTTCCTTCTCCATTGTATTTCTTCTCTTTTTTCTATTATGTTTCTTCTCTCTTTTTCACTCTTCCATTGTCGCGTTATACAAATTATCAATTATTTTCAAGCCACGTTATTGCTCCATGATCTTCAGTGCGAGGGAAGATCTTCAAGTGTAGAAAATCGCAACAACCGTGCATTATCGGCTCACGCTTTGCCATCGCGTGTGCAACAGCGGATGAGATTTTTTTCATGAAGCATATCGGTTGGCGAGAATACAAGTGGAATTAAAAATGTCTGGTGAGTACGTAGAACTTGCAAGGTATATTTTAAACGCATCGCTGCGATACCAAACAGGTTCTCACGAGTTTGCGTGATCTTCGTGACATAGCAAGACAACATCTTCCGTGATGAGATCAGAAATATTTCTTCCCGGATGAGAAAACTAATTTTTTTCATTAATTTTTTTGTGTCGTTCTCAAAATTATTTTAAAGTCGCGACGAAGATTAGAAGATGAATATTAAAATGACTTCACAATATTTATCGAATGTAATACTTATCAAAGTATTTGCTTACGTTAGAATACAATTGCAGATGATTCTTGCGTATCTTCTCACGGATGTCGCAGAGCGTACACGCAGAAGCAGAGTTTCGATCATATCGTAGTTGGCAAGACTTTCGAGAGAAGGAAATAAACATGATTCATAGTCAAAGTTTAGTCGCGAATGTTTTAAAAATGCTAGCTAAATTATATTTATCATAATTTTTCTTTTGTAATTTCTACTTAATTCTATTTAACTAATCTAATGATTCGGAACGAATAACACACAAAATAATACAAGTTCTCAATTAAAAAAGATTACTGCGCAAAATTTTTTAAATTTTAACATTGATAATTTTGATATGAATTGTCTCTCTGACATCCGCAAATATTTAAGATATCTTCGAGTTGCTGTTGTAATGGTTCCGATTAGATAATCGTTTTTAAATGCATAAATTTGCATTAGACAATGTACAGCTGACACTTTCACTTAACAGAGAATTTTCAATAATATTACTTCATTTATGTGAAAGTAATAAGAATCATTCGATCAAATGGCAATCAAGTATAGTCAATAATTTTGATTACATATAATTCAAGGTGGAAATAAATAATATTTAAATAAAAATGAAAAATATGCTAAATATATAATAAAGTATGATAAAATTACATCTTGTGTGATGTCTCGGGAAATAATTTTCGAATGATGAATTATTGAAGCTATGAGAAAAAAAAATTCGAGTTAATATTCTTATAATACTTCTAATATTCTTATTATACTTATCATGTAAAAATACTATGTAATACTAATATATAAAAAATTCTTTATTTAAATTTAAGTATTTAATATTTTAATTTAATTTGTATTAATACTTTCCATTTATGGTCTACATTAGTAAAATATATTTTTTAAACATTTAAACGTTTAGATCGCATTCAATATTTTTGTTGAATTGATTCAAAAATTAAAATAGAAAATTTTAACATATTTGGTAATATTTCTTTTTACTTTCTTTCCAGAAGTGATTCTTTTTCTTTATGAAATATTAAAAAAAAAACCGTCTTACCTTGATATATGCAGGTCTTAGCATATTTCAAAATGTTGTCAAATTTATTTCCTGCGTCTATGTCATCGGCATACTTGAGGAGGATGGAGAAGATGTCCCACATATGCTTTAAGGAAATATGCCCGTGAGAGAACTGCATTCTGAGAGAACTGACCATCTCGTTCCAAGTATATTCCAGTAAATTTTGGAGGCCAAGACAAAATAGGCCTATAAATTCAACAAAAATTCAAACGTGAGAAATAGATGATTACGATCAGCATTGACTAAAATATATAGCAGTAGATAGTAGTGGATGATAAGAAAACGATATTTGATCTAACGGAATTCGAGTTGGAGAGGATTGAAAATAAATGGAGTCTAAAGCCAAATAGAATCACGGACAACAGTTCTCCGACAGTTACGTTATAATATATATTAGACATGACGAGAACCAATAGTGGCACATCTAGTCGTGGCTCCGCCTATTAGGGGACTCCCAGATCGTTTTTAAAATAAGGAAACGGTCCCGTTATGTTTCTTGCCCTCACCCTCGACCACTCTTATACACCATCACTGCCCCACTCCCAGCTGATGTCGATAACTCCCTTTCCTCTCTCTACCGCTGAGAAACCGACCCGTACGACCCGACGGAATAGACAACGGCGCGATGCAGGTGCCGTGCCGCCGGGACGCTTGGCGTTGGTTCCCTCCTTTTACGCGCCCAGGTGAACCCGGCCAACCACGTGCTGCTGTGCGCGCGTGTGCACATGACATGAGAGTGAGAGAGGAAGAGTAGAGAGCGATGGGAGGAGCCGAGACGAGGAAGGGTTCTGGGGAAGAGGACGAGGGGCCCGTCGATATGGAGAAGGGAAGAGAATATCGGGATCTAGTAGCATATCTTTCCAGTTTGTTCTGGCCCACTGAACTGTAGTACCACTGACACGCTAATGCATCCTAATAATATAATCTTATGTATCAATATGTGCCCATACATTTATAAAGGAGAGCATTCTTCTGACAATGTGTCTTTTCTTACAATTACTCCCACGTATTATTATAACTCAGTGGTTTGTTCTGGCCCGCGTGTTCTGTCAACGGCGGAACACTATGGCCATACAATATAATACAAATACAGCGATGCAAAGTCAGAATTACAGTTTTCTTCCCGTTTTCTCCTCGCTTCATGCATCTACGATGCAACGAAGCGAATAGCGAAAGAAGAAAAAAATTGATATCCAAAATCTTCCCGTTTCCGTTCTCAAGCATTTATTGTTCGTCACAAACTTTCACCAAGCGATTACCATTTTACATAGAATGTACTAAAGTATAAGTAATGTGCAAAAAAGAGAGTGTCATAATGTAACACAGATAATACCCGTATAATTAATCTTTTTAAAAAATTAAATTATTTATAAATCAATTTTAATTAGAATCAATCATAATCAATTATAATCAATTTTTAATTTTAATTAGATATGTGTAAAAAACAAATAGCGTAGCTTTAAAATTTAGTAAGAATTCATATCAATAAGAATTCGTCTTCATTAATATCGTTAAAATTTTCTTATTTATAAAAGCAGAAAATTTATTTATCGTGTATGAATATCCAGCAATACAATATCTAAAATCTGGACGTAAGACGTCTTGATAGTTACATAATTTTATAAATTTCTATAAGTATAGCCCTCTTCTTTTATTATATATTTTGTGATGAGAATGGTTTTTACATGTCAACTGAAATCTCCTTCGCATTATCATAGATTTAAATCCAATTCCTCGTCGCCATGCATTTCTTGTAATCTACGCTCATATTATCGATGACGAGATCGATTACATAATATAAGAGAGAAGGAGGCGGAGAAGGGTTAAATGATATTTGGCTCCGTGAACGACACGATACAAATGTGACATGCTGAATGTGACATGTGACTGTTGCGCGTGTATATCTCGTCATGATATGTTTATATTCGATTTTTATCCGACCGAATCTTTTCGCGGAAGAGAAACAGAGAAGTTTGTAGTTGGAACGCCAGACTGATGAAATAAGCCCGACAATATTTGGACGTGCGTCTCTAGAGAAGACAGAAGTTTTTTTATGTGATAATGACGAATGTTATGAATGACTTCTCGTATCTTCTGATAATATTGATCCCGTCTCATACGAAGAAACACGATCCATTCGTGCAATACGAGCCATATCATGCATAATTTTATATTATTGTAGTTTAATATTTTTAAAATGTCTTTAACATTGGTCTTTTAACTTTTCTCTCAATTTCTTTTTAGATATTTATTATTATATGATATGTCAGTTAAATGATTTAATATTATTCTTTTCAAATCTGTCATGTCTTTTTAAAATCATGTTTAAATTATTAGCATTTTTTATTTTAGCAATAGGTTTTGTTATGAGAGCAATTAATAACATGATTAGAGTTATCATCAAATAGATCATAACCAAAAATATAATTGAACAAAAGCCGAGAAAATTCGAGTTTCCATGATGAAAGAATGTTACCTTGAGTCATGCAATAAAAGTATTTTTAAGATAATAAATATAAGATAAAATATAAATTTAAGATAAATAATAAATAAATAAAAGATAAATTTAAAAAAAAAACCTTAATCAAAGAACTATTAGTATCATAAAGACATGTTGTTATGCATGAATAAATAATATATATTTAATGTCTATATTTCTCTCTTACTAAAAAGTATAAAAATCTATTCAAACAACTGACATTTCAACTGGATTCTTGCATCGAAGAAACTAGAAATAAATATTGCAGGATTAAATTGACAAACCATTTAATTAGACTCAAATTATATATAAAATTAAAACTTTTAATTTTTTGTATATAAATATCATGCAAAAAATATTTTATATAAATATTTTAAATACGCTTTGTAAAAACAAACGAAATGGATTTTTTTATAAAATATGGTTTCTGATGTGTTTAACATCATATAAGCAAATAATATCACAAAACTGTAATTATTTTACTTTTATGTAAATTTTCATATCAGTCATTATGATATACATAGGTTATTTCACAGTTAAAACGCAAATATACATGTATGTATGCGAATACACATATGTATATATAATCACAGGAGAAGTTTAGAAAAAAAAACCAGTGGAGTCTGATAATTTTCGATAAGATACTAGACAACAGTTATAAAAAAAATATATGCGTATAAACGTAAAGTCAATACAAATGCGTAAAGTAACATTCCTTATATTATAAAATAATATACATTAAAAACTAATAATAGATATTAATTATTTAAAAATTTATTGAAACAATAGTTGCATCAAATAGAATAACAAAACAAAAATTCTACAATTACTACCGTAAAGATACCTTAAGACATTTATCGTATCGTATTGTTTTGTTAAGTATCATAAAAGTATTATTAAAGTTGTCTCATTCTTGGCTTTACTATATATCTGTAATAAAATACATAACATATGCTTTTAACAGAATACTTTCAAAATAGATGCACAAAAGTGCACTACTGATCAAATCACAATTGATCAAATACTAAAATGAAATAATTTACAATTAATTAAATAAAAAATTTAATTTTCGCCTTAATAAAATAAAGTATTGTAAATATTTAATATATGTTATTAGTGACACATTTTGACAATATATTTGCAATGTTAAATAAAGTAATATAAAACATAAATAAATGTAAGTATTCAATAAATAAAAAAAATAATATATATAAAATATATATAAAATAATATATATAAATAATATATATAAAATAGAGCGAAATACCAATACCTTTTATGGTATTCGATTAATATTCTGTTTGGAGCTACTCTTTTCATATTTATTTTATTTTTCGATTTGAACAACGCTTGACAAGTACCACCTGTTATGCCTCGTCTCATCGACACATCGCAATTAGTGTTAGATCATAAAAACGTGGTAATTAGTAAGCGTTGATCTGTTTGGTCACCAAAGACAATTATGCGATTTTATGGTGGTGGACTTTTTGATCGCACGAGAGCGCTCGTTAAATTGATGCCGCGTCAGTTTTGTCCCTAACGAAGGCAGAATGCCGGCGACTTTGTTAGATCCTCGTAAAACCGTATCGTGTTCCTCAACCCGTGCTACGAAAAATTTCTCGGGGTCGAAGTGTACGTCGTAAAAAACTAACTATGAAACGCGCCGCTCGTAAAACTGTTTCCGAGACCGCGGGATCAGCATGAACGTTAACCCGAAAAATCTGACAGTTCGATTCTACGTGGTGCATCGTGCCGCCAGCAAACTTTAATCTCCAAAGTCATTATTGCTTCTTGTTGCTATCAAATGTAAATCGTGCGTCCGAGTCATATAAAAGGATCGTAAGACCTCCGAGTTGTCGTAAATTCTGCTATTCTCGCGCTCGAACAATTTCAACATAAACTGCCTCTAAGTTACATGACTCAACGGAAAGTATGATCATAAAAAGTCGAATGAATAATTTAAAAAACAAAAAAAAAAAGAGAGAGAGAGAGAAATAATTGCATTTAATTTAACATTTTATTTAATTTCTTTTATGCAATTAAAAAGTTATATTTTCAATGTTTTCAAGATTTCATTTTTTTCAACATTTATGTTCAATTATTCTAACACTAATTATATATTACAAACAACCCTTGCCAACGTGCCGGTGACAAAGGTATCCAACGGTAGCAGGTAAAGCAGTAATGTTTTTAACACGTTAGTCGAGAGGATCCGCGTATTTCGAGCTTGTCACGGACGAGGAGCTCATATTGCACAGTCAAACGTGTCTCCCTTGCATGCGGATCGCGGTCCAGCACCGCGTTGGACACGACATTGCACCACATTCGGCACACGGGGGGGGGGGGGTGGTACGAGAACAGGCTTTGTAGCAATGATACCGTTGTGTCATCGCGCGCGTAATCGAAACCAAACGTCGACGAAGCAAACCCTCGCTGTAGAGGGTTGTACAGGGAGAAATGCGCTATTACCATGTGAACACAATCACGTCAACTTAATCACAGACAACTATGCAGACGCGTGCATAAATGATTCATCAATTTGATAATTAAGAAATTTAAAATAATTCAAAAATATGATATAAGATATATAATGACGTAACATATTAATATTTATTAAAAAAGAAAGAAATAGCTTTGACTTTGAGCTACGTTTTAATTCCATTAAAAATAACGATACGTAGATGATATAAATAACTTTGAATTTATA